TTGAACCACCAGTCTTCTGGTTAGCAGTCAAGTGCCTTAGGCACTACGCCACCAGGGCTCCTAGGGTAAGAATGGTAGCTTCCTAATAGGGTTTTTACAAGGAATAAATTAGTTAATAATTAACAAAGGCACTGACTTTGCTGTTACAAATGACTGAGTTGGTTCCGACACCTAGCAAACTACAGAACGAACCCCTGCCCGGTCCTGTGCCATCCTTCCAGTCGCTGGGTGGGAGCCCATTGCTGCAGCCACCATGTCAATGCATCTCGCTGAGGGCCCTCCTCCTTTTCACGACCCTCTACTTCACCAAGCACGATGTCATTCTCCAGGGACTGGTCCCTCCTGGTAACGTGTTCAAAATATGTGAGATGAAGTCTCACCATCCTCACTTCTAAGGAACGTTCTGGCTGTACTTCTTCCAAGGCAGACTTGTTCTTTCTTCTGGCAGTCCATGGTATAGTCAATATTCTTCACCAACACCATCATTTAAAGGCATCGCTTCCTCTTCAGTCTTCCTTATTCATTGTCCAGCTGTCGCAAGCATATGGGGTGCCTGAAAATGGCTTGGGTTAGGCACACCACACACCACCTTAGTTCTCAAAGCAACATTTTTGCTTCTTTAACACTTTAAAAAGGTCTTTTTTTGCAGTAGACTTGCCCAATGCAATACATTGTCTGATTTCTTAACTGTGCTTCCACAGGCACTGACTGGATCCAAGTAAAATGAAACCCTTGACAACTTCAATCTTTTCTCCATTTATCATGTTCCTTATTGGAGCAGTTGTGAAATTTTTATTTTCTTTCTGCTGAGGTCTAATCCATATTGAAGGTTGTAGTCTTTGATCTTCATCAATAAGTGCTTCAAGTCGTCTTCGCAAGGTTGTGTTATCCACATATTGCAGGTTGTTTAACAAGTCTTTCTCCAGGTCTGATGCTGTGTTGTTCTTCATACAGTCTACCTTCTCAGATCATCTGCTCAGCTTACAGACTGAATAAGTATGATGTAAGGACATGACCCTGACACACACACACCCTGATTTGAAACCATGCAGTATCCCTTGTCCTGTCCAAGCCACTGCCTCTTGGTCTATGTACAGGTTCCTCATGAGCACAAGTAAGTGTTCTGAAATTCCCATTTGTCACAGTGTTACCCATAATCTGTTGTGATCATACAGCTGAATGCCTTTGCATAGTCAATGAAACACAGATAAACATCTCTCTGGTATTTCTGGTTTCGGCCGAGATCCATCTGATATCAGCAGTGACGTTCCTTGTCCTATGTCCTCTTCTGAATCTGGCTTGAATTTCTGGCAACTGCCAGCTAATGTACTGCTACAATCATTTTTGAATTAGAGTCAGTAAAATTTTACTTGTGTATGATATTATATTGTTTGATTCTAGATTCTGTTGGATCACTTTTCTTTGGAATGGGCACAAATACGGATCTCTCGCAGTTGGTTGGCCAGGTACATGTCTTCCAAATTTTTTTTGGCATACATGAGTGAGTGCTTCCAGTGTTGGATGTTTGTTGAAACATCTCAATTGGTATTCCACCAATTCCTAAAGCGTTGCTTTTCACCAGTGCTTTCAGTGCAGCTTGGCCTTCCTCTTTCAATACCATCAGTTCTTGGTCACATGATACCTTCTGAAATGGTTGGACATCGACCAATTCTTTGTGGCAGAATGACTCTGTGTAGTCTTTTGCTCTTCTTTCAATACTTCCCGCGTCATTCAATATTTTGCCAACAGAGACACAGAACATTTAAAACAGTGTCTGGCACACAGTCACTGTACCATGGGAAGAGTTCACTGTCATTATGTTTCTGTCATAACTACTTTTCATCCTAGTGGTTCTGCCCATGAGGACAGTGTGTGCCCAAGTCATTAGCCCAAGGAAATGCATGTCCAAACCAATTCATTCCTGTTATCTTGCTTTGAGTCACCAGAAATGTACTGAGCCTATACTGTCCCAATACCCTGTGTGAAGAAGACTGTGTAGCTTACAGACTCACGGGCTAGAGAGACAAGTAAACAAGCAGTTGCAATGAAGCAGGGCCTCAAACTATGGAGACAAGGTGACACGTTGTTGAGACTGAAGAAGCCAAAATGATTTGCAGCCTCCTTGAAGAATGACTTGATTCCTTTAAGAAGGCTTACAAAGATACAGACTGAGACCCCTGCAATGAGAGGTAGAGAAGGAGAATGAAGGGAAATTTGTATCCGGAGTGAAAAATAGTGCTAAGCACCTCAGTTCACCCTCACACTGACCCTCTGAGGGAACTGCTACAATTATTACCACTTCACAGATGAGCTCAAAGGAGTTAAGTAATTTGACCAAGACCACACAGTCAGCAAATGGCAAGAGCCGGCCTTCTACCCAGGCCATGCAAAGGAACAGTGGTCAGCTTGCTCAACTGAGCAGACTCTCCCAGGCTGCAGATGGTAGCACGTAGAGTGGGGAGAGACGAGAGAGGTGGATGGGGTCTGATGTGTGATGGTTTAGGGAGTTTGAAGGTTTTACGCAAAGGAGGAATAGGGTCAGATTTGTGCAGAAATAAAGCAGATGCTCATGTGTCATGTGTCCCCAAGCAGACCCCATCTCACCAATTAACTCCCTTTGTTTATTCCCTTCTCCCCCCACCGCCCCACCCCACATATCCCAAAGCCCAGGGCTAGAATGATAGTAAATTGTGAAACAAAAGCATGGGCATCTCCTGGGGTCTTTCACAATGTTATAGGGTTATAGGGACAGTGAAGTGAGGTGCTCATCAACACAGTGCCAGGCACACAGCAAGGCTAGCTGTTGTTGTTGTTGTTGTTGTTGTTGTTGTTATGTGCTGTCAGGTCAGACCCGACTCATAGTGACCCCTCCTTGGGTTTCCGAGGCTGTATCACCATGGAAGTAGATTGCCCAACCTTCCTTCCGAGGAGTGGCTGGTGGGTTAGGCTAGCTGTTACTCCGGGCTAAATCCTGGACGTAGCCCATGGGCCCAGGGCTGCCAAATGTAGTTACCAGTAGGGACAAAGATGTTGCTAGGAGGAAAGAGAGACCCAAGAACTGGAAGGGCTATGAATGTACAAGTCCTTTCCATTGGAAGAAAAGAAGAGTAAACCAGTTGCCATCGAGTCAGTTCCAACATAAAGTGACCCCACGTGTGTTGTACAGAACTGTGCTCCATGGAACAGTCAATGGCTGACTTTCTCAGAAGTACTTCACCAGGCTTTCTTATGAGACATCCCTGGGTGGACTTGAACCTTTCACCTTTCAGTTAACAGTTGAGCTCATTAACCATCTGCACCACTCTAGGACTCCAAGAGAATAATAGATGCTCAGTAAGTAGTCTGTAGAAGGGGCTCCAAAGACAACAGAAAGAGCAGTGACCTCCAGTTCTCCTAAGACCTGGCAGACACAGCCTCCCCAGTACATGCGGAAATGAAGGGGGCAGTGCCTCTTCCAGCAGAGTTAAAAATGATCCTTCTCAGGGTTACCAAGGGGTGACCCTGGTCATCTCCATACTTGAGCCCCAGGGCTCGGACCTGTCTGCTAAGGTGGTGCTTTCTTGGAAACAGGGAGGGTGGATTTCTTCCTGCACTATGAGCACCAGGCCCAGGAGCCCTGGGGAGTATTGATCAAGGCAGGCCACAGTTTCAGAGAAGAGCAATTACACAAGTTCATAACAGAGGCCGATCACCCATTAGTGTAAGAGGAGAAATCACTGGAGTGGGGGTGCAGGGCTGGTGGGGCTCCACTGTGTTTCCAGGAAAAATGCAGGCAGGGAGTTAACCATCTCCTGACCTCACTCTCAGGTTGATTCCCAGTTGCTGTGCTGGCTTCCAAAGCACTTTGAGCATGGGCCCAGGAGAGGATGGGTTAAACAAACCAAGGTCAAACCCCGAACAAACAACCAACAAGAAGCCCTCAGGCAGTTCCCTTCAACTCTCTGGGTTTCAGTTCCCTCATCTGCATGAGGAGGTGATAATCATACCCACCTTCCAGTGTTGTCCAGAGGATTAAATCAGATGTCCAGATCCTCCTCCTGACATCAGCAAGCTGTGTGGCCCCAAACCAGTGACTGTTCCTCTCTGAGCCTGTTTCCGCTTATCTAAAATGTGGATGATACTTCTTCTCCCAGAAGGTTTTTGGCACAATTAAATAATGTGTGTCAAGCGCCCTGGTTGAAACCTGAGTCACTGAAGGCACTTAACAGAAGTGCCAAAAGTCAGACAACAGGAGTTAGACTTCTTTTTAAACAGTATGATAGTTGCGTTTTCAAATAACATGCTCAGTATGTTTTTCTTCAATATCTAACTACATTTTCAGGCAAAGGACATATAAATTTAAAACAACAAGTCTCACTGTTAATTGGGGGACAGGGATAAATACACTAGTTTTCCCGGGTTTCTAGACGTTAGAAACACTCTGTACTGTATTGTTGTTCTTTTATCAAATTGATAATTAGACACCTTTGGGATACTAATTTCACTCAGTCCTCTCATTTGTCTGAATCAAGACCCTCTAACTGGGGGACCCCTCTGATGATCCCTCCCCCATATACACAAACCCCAAGTAATTGGCATAGAATCCTCTTGTTTCAAATCACAGCTCTGCCACCCACTAGCCCCACTTCCTTCCCTCTTCTGGGCCTCAGATTCCTCCTCTGTAAAATGGGACAACGAATGGTGACCCAGGGCCATCGTGAAGGTTTAACGTGACAAGGTACGCAAGACACATAGTGTGCAGCACATGGCAACAGCTCTCATAACAGGGAGAAGCACAACTGCTACAAGTATTGCTATTGCTCCATTGCTACTACTGTTCTAACAGTATCCCTCTGTGCTCTGTCTCTGCAGTGAACCCCTCTTCCGCCAGCTCTGTGCCCTCCACTGGCTCCTGGAGGCCCTGACTATTGACCACACCCACCACACCATGAATCCCGTGATCACCTGCTGGAATCCAAAGTACGCCTCAGCCCTATAACCTGCCATAAACTAGCAATGGATTAGGCGGTGGAGGAGGGGACCCCTACACATTTTTTTCTCCTATTGCTTTTGGTGGTAGGTGGGTCTGGGAGGTCTTCCCTGTGCTTTGTGGGATCCAAACAGTGCTGTACTGGAGTCAACTCACACAGGCTGCTGAGAGCTGAGGACGTGCACCCCTCCCAGCTTTCTGTCCAGTGACATAACATCACAAACCAAAAACCAAACTCCCCGCTGTCAAGTCAGATCCAACCCACAGTGAACCCTCCTTGGGTTTCCGAGGCATTAGCTCTATGGAAGTAGATTGCCCAATCTTCCTTCCAAGGAGTGGCTGGTGGGTTTGAACCACCAGCCTTCGGTTAGCTGTCAAATACAATCATATTAGTAGCTTGAAATCAGCCACAATGGGAGTATTTACACCACGGAAATTGGCAAGCTACAGATTAGTTGTTTTGTTTGTTTATTTTCAATGGACAGTCAGTTGTTAAACATTTACCAGCACACTACTAGATCTACTACTGCTAGATTTCTAATTCTCTTCTTGAAAGTGTCTCCATGAAGCCATTTTTTTGATTGCCTCTCTTCCTTTTCCTCCATTCTCCTCTTTCTCCCCCTCCCTGTTGCCTTTGCCTTTCTGTTGTTCTTGTTTTGCTTCTCTCTCTCAAGGTTGTTTTTAAAAATTCTACAATGGTGACCAGGAGCTCTGGTGGCCTAGTGCCTAAGGCATTTGACTGCTGACCAGAAGGCTGGCGGTTCAAACCCACCAGCCACTCCTTGGAAGAAAGGTTGGGCAATCTACTTCTGTGGTGATAATGCCTCAGAAACCCAAGGAGGGGTCACTATGAGTCAGATCCGACTCAAGGGCAATGGGGTTGGGTATAATTGTGACCATCTCTCTACTGAAGTCCCTGGGGATACAAATGACTAACGTGCTTGGCTACTAACTGAAAGGTTGTAGGCTGGAATCCACCCAGAGGAACCTTGGAAGAAAGGCCTGGTGATTGACATCTTAAGATTTCAACCCCTGAAAATCTTATGGAGCAGAGTTCTACTGTGACACACATGGGGTGACCTTAAGTTGGCTCAACAAGGACTGTTTGTTTGGGTTTGTTTCTTTTACTGGTCTTTCCACTGGACCAAAGGAGTACTCAGTGCTCAGGTCTCTGGAGCAGCTGGGTTTGCACAGGCAGAAACCCTCGAACTTGTCTAGGCCAAGAGAAGTATTGGGTGTGTCCCCACCAGAGGGCAGGACCCAAGCAAAAGCCTGAGACCACTGCTGCAGGAACACACAGGCAGAACAAGCAACAGGTCCACAGGAACAGTCACCACTTCTTTAAGAAAGGAGATCAGATTATCTGCAAGAAAAAAGGGACAAAACAGGCAAAGAACCCAGGACTGAGGAACTGGAGTTGCTTTGTGAAAATCCCAGGCTGATTTAAATAAAATCGTTCCCCATCCCAAATGCTAACACTTCCCACCCCTACCCCAGTACACTGATACTGGCCACGCCCTCCCAGCCCTCCTGGTGACTGCGGTCTTCTTCCTCTTCCAACATTCTGAGTCTAAATTAATTCCTTCCTCCTGTGCACAGTTACCACTCATCCTCCAGAGTCCTCCCTGATTCATTTCTTGTACCAACGCCCAGATAAACTAACCTCAAAAGCAACCAAAAATATGAATCATACGTCTACTGACAGACCAGTGACTCCGAGTGATTCAGTGTTTTCGACTGGGGTGAATTTAAAACCGTAGTTTGCTTTGATGCCGTGGTTTACAACCTGTATTTTTTCCAGCAGCATAAATCCTTTAAAAACAAGGGAACACCAGTAATGTAAAATATCTTTTTTCTAAATGGAGCTTCTGCACAAAGCAGGAGGTTGGGAGGCCTCTGAGGCCTGGAGCCCCTCCAACTTGATGCCAACTGCACCATGACCTAGGTATGTCCTCAATATCCTTATGGCTCCCAGAATTTGTTTTAAAACCACAACCTTAAACCATTTCCTGTTATTTGTTTTTTTGTTTTTTT